CTCACGTAGGTGTCATGGTCATAGATCTCCACCACCATTCCCATTCCCATCCCATTCCCATTCCCACCCCACACTCACGTAGGAGTCGTGGTCATAGATCTCCACCACCATTCCCATTCCCGTTCCCATTCCCATCCCATTCCCATTCCCACCCCACACTCACGTAGGTGTCGTGGTCATAGATCTCCACCACCACGCTGGGGGGATCCTGGCCCTGGCCCGGGGGGGCCCCGAAGATCTCGATCTCGTAGAAGATCAGGGTCTGGTCCCACGTGGGGTTCAGGGTGTTCTTCACCACCACTGACTTCTGGCTCTGGTGCAGGAAGGACACGATGGCGTAGGGATCTGTGGGAATGGGATATGGGATGGGATACAGGGATCTGTGGGAATGGGATATGGGATGGGATACAGGGATCTGTGGGAATGGGATATGGGATGGGATACAGGGATCTGTGGGAATGGGAGACGGGATTGGGAATGGGATACGGGATTGGGATACAGGGATCTGTGGGAATGGGACACAGGGATTGTGGGATACAGGGATCTGTGGGAATGGGAGACGGGATTGTGGGATACAGGGATTGGGATACAGGGATCTGTGGGAATGGGATATGGGATTGTGGGATACAGGGATGGGACACAGGGTTCTGTGGGAAATGGAGACTGGGAATGGGATACAGGGATTGTGGGAATGGGATACAGGGATGGGATACAGGGATCTGTGGGAATGGGAGACAGGGATTGTGGGATACAGGGATTGTGGGAATGGGAGACAGGGATCCGTGGGAATGGGATACAGGGATGGGATACAGGGATCTGTGGGGATGGGAGACGGGATTGGGAATGGGATACAGGGATTGTGGGATACAGGGATCTGTGGGGATGGGAGACAGGGATTGTGGGATACAGGGATTGTGGGAACGGGATACAGGGATCTGTGGGAATGGGAGACGGGATTGGGATACAGGGATCTGTGGGAATGGGAGACAGGGATCTGTGGGAATGGGATACAGGGATGGGATACGGGGATCTGTGGGATACAGGGATCTGTGGGAATGGGATACAGGGATTGTGGGAATGGGACACAGGGATTGTGGGAATGGGATACGGGGATTGTGGGAATGAGATATGGGGGTCTGTGGGAATGGGATACAGGATTGTGGGAATGGGATACAGGAATGGGATACAGGGATCTGTGGGAATGGGAGACAGGAATGGGACACAGGGATCTGTGGGAATGGGATACGGGATTGGGATACAGGGATCTGTGGGAATGGGATACAGGGATCTGTGGGAATGGGATACAGGGATGGAATACAGGGATTGTGGGAATGGGACACAGGGATTGTGGGAATGGGATACAGGATTGTGGGAATGGGATACAGGAATGGGATACAGGGATCTGTGGGAATGGGAGACAGGGATCTGTGGGAATGGGATACGGGATTGGGAATGGGAGACAGGGATTGTGGGACACAGGGATCTGTGGGAATGGGATACAGGGATCTGTGGGATACAGGGATTGTGGGAATGGGAGACAGGGATTGTGGGATAGAGGGACCTGTGGGAATGGGATACAGGA